CCTTAACAAATTTCTGAAATGGGCTTTTCAACAAGCAAGTCTTTCCTGGGAGTACCAGCAATACCTTAATGCATCTTAATCAACGCAATGGTGTGTCTAGTCTGAAATAACTGCATCACCAACTTGTTGACTTAAGGAAACAGTATTAATAAGCTACATATGAATGCAGGAATAGAAAATTCTTAACAATGAAAGCAAATATCTCGTTTAATAAATTGTGTATTAGGTTCATGATCAAAAAGGACTTAAGTGTATTGGCAATACATACTAATTTGAAACTTAAATGAGTATTTAAAACATCTTTACAAAGAGATAGAGTTGATTGTCCCAAGTTGTAACTGATTTGTTAGATAATGGCAAAATAGTAAAACTAATACATAGGTACTAAAATGACTAGTCTAGTGAAAGGGCTCGAGGAATGTAATGGTGATTTGAATTGCTGTAGCATTATATTAATGAGATAAGTCTGTGGTTATCTATATTCTAGTTAAATTATTTTTATTATGGCACAGGGTTTAGTTGCAGAGGATATAGAAGGATCATCAAAAAGAACCTTCAGAATATCTGATTAGATCGAAGCATGTCATTTACCTTCGGCCATTACAGCAGTCTGTAGTTTCACTTGTGGAATTTCACATGCCAGTGTGTGCACCATGTGTTTTCTGTTGTATTGAGAATAAATTCTTTTGCTCATGGAAAAATATTTCCTGCTTACTTTAACTGACAGAATGAAGTTCTTGCTGAATCTGTAATGATGGGGGTCTGTCTCTACTCTACAAAAATTAATTTCTACCTTAAGCTAGAAATTGTCTTCTATTTTGTGATTGCATCTGTTTTTTATCTACCTGGTGCAGAATGTAAGCATGTTAATCAGATCTATCTGGATTCCCACATATTGATCTTTTTGGATTGTAAGTGAAGTGAACTTTGACTTCTACCTCTCAAGAAGGATATTTGTCCACTTCATGAAACCACCATAAAATTCAGCTCTCTATTCTGGAGAAAATCAGAGGTGGAATAGCAGTGGGTTTAGAAAAAGCTGAGTTTAGGGATCAGGACTGAAACAGGGGCCTTGGTTTATACCTTATTGGCAGAGTTGCATGATGTTTTAGGCTGAGGTACCTATAGGTGCTGGAGGGTATTATCTCATAAAGGTGACCGAGTTGTATGGGCAGTGTCTGCTTGTTTGTGTAGCTGGTTTTAGCTGTAGCTTTTCATTTTAAAAATCAGATTCTTAGTGCAAATTGATGACAGATCACTAGAGTGAGAGGAGATGTACTTACACATCCTTGCTTGAGAATGTGGCCCAGACTGCTCCATGGAAACAAAAGAGAGAAGAAGCAGAAGCGGTGTTAGTTTTTGCTTTAAAATCTACTATCTGTATGTTTGAAATGGAAATATGCCCGTTCAGATTTCTCATTTATTTATCTCCAGATAAGTTTTTTTCAGTTGAATTGCATACACTCCCTCGTCCTTCACCTTGAATGCCGGTTCCCTGTAAATGACAAAGTCTGGTACCTGTCTGTAAACCCTTTGTTGTCACTGCTGCTGTAGAATCCGCCTAGATGATGTCTTGACCTTGTTTACCAGCTTTGGCTATTTAAGATGGCAGCCACTTCAGCGCAAATGTCAGGAATTCCTCTAATGCAGTAGGCCTCCCGTTCTAAATTTACTCTCCTTATGGTTTATGGTCCCTCCTCTGTGGCTGCAGCAAGAGGCCCCCTTTTTATGACTCAACCCTCCTGCTCTCCTTCGCTCCCCCTCTTCCTCGCTCCCTCCCTCCCCCAGATGGTAACCCTTTGTGCACATCGCCTGTTTGAAACAAGTGCTCGCTGGGTGTCTAGCAGATTGGCTGCCACAATGTGCTCTTTTGTTGCCGCTAGGTAAGATCAAATTCGAATGAAATCCTGTAATTCCAATTAGGTTAAAAGGCTGTCCTTGGAACGTTGCAATTTTGGTATCCCAAGATGCTGATAGGGGCCTCTGACTGAAGCACTCAGAGGAGAATAGTGTTGCTTTTCTTTTAAAGCAAAGTTAAATTATTTTGCAATTGATTTTGGAACCTTTATAACATCCTGTTAGCCAGCAGTAATTATTGTTGTAGTCAAATGCCTAATAACAATAGTTATGGTTAGACTTTGTCGAGGTTTTTTTTGTTGTTTTGTATACCAAAAAAGCATAAAAGGGATGTATACGGGAGGGCAAATATAATTTCTTCACTTTGTACTGGGGAAAACTGGGAAACACATTAGTTAACGTAAAAAAATCTCAAACTAGTGATTTTTCTCCTGCCTATGGCAGCTGAACAGTATTAGTGGTATGTGCATGTGTATGCAAGTTTGGGGGGGATGTTCACAAAAGCCAGCCTTAGCACAACTGACTTCTTGAGGACACTCCAGGGTACCTAAAGTTAGACTTCTGCTCTGTGTTGTCCCTAAAGGACCCTCACTCTCAATCTCTCTCCCCCCCGCTTATATACAGAAGCTGAGACAGATTTGTTTTCTTCATGAAAAATCTTTTTATTTCCCCTTTATTGGAATATGTGCTCCTAACTCACTTGGGCATTTTCAGAGTTACATGGGAAAGACAAGTTAACTGGAAGTCTAAAAGTGTTTTTCTAGAGAAAAAAATTACTTCTGTGGAAAGCTGTGTTAATGGAAAGTCGATCAGAAGTTTTCTCTAATGCCTGATTATTTAATTTGTGACATTATTTCATCCTTCAAATGGTCACTATTACCTTAGAATACAAGCATATTATGTACCAGAAAGTTAGTGTAACTTTGAAGGCACTAGTTGTTTTGTTCAGTGAGAAGAAAACATGATTGTGCTTATTAAGTTGCTTTGGCTTAACAATGGCAGGATGTAGCCTGGTAAGCAGCATCTCATGAATAGTATTTATTAGCGTGGCCAATATTTTTCTTTACACTAAACATAAGTCTTACATGCTGCTCTATTGCAAAGAATGAATTTACTAGTAAATTTACTTCAGTAAATTACTAAAGTTTTAAAAAATAATCTTTAGTTTCTTTCCCTTATATGGCTTCTTTGCTTGATGGTGTAACACAGTACACTGGGGAAGGCCGCTGCAGAAGAAAACTGCCACGGCTAAGCACTGGCTGGGATTTTATAATGTGACTCAACTGGCCAGTGTTGCAATGGTGCTTTCTCTCCCATTTTGTCACATACAAACATACTATGAAAACCATTTACAGAGTAGCTTCTGTTCAGCATTCTGACTAGAGAGCTTTGCTGTCAAGCCTCAGGATGTAAGCTGATTGCCTGCAAAGGGCAGGAAAATAGTGTTTAAAGCATTTTAAGCAGTGCTGGGTGGTGGCGAATTATCTGTTATAGTTTCTTACCCTTTTGCTGAGGAATCAGATACTGATCACTGCCAGAGGGAGGATGGTGGGACCGTGGGTGAATAGTCTGACCTGGTACTGCAAATCCCATGCTCCTACTTTTACATGAAAAGGTATCATTTTCAATATGGTACTTTTATGATTCACAGTTTCTGAATCTTAATATAGACAGTTCTTGCAATGGCCCTCATAAGACTGTTCATTGTCTCAGCCGTTTACTTTGCACTTACAATCAGTGCAGTTATTTCACATTAAACTTGTGTCACAGGAGCTTCCACGTGAGAGCAAACCATGATTGAAAATGGAGGATTCAGAACTAAAATTCCAACTATACCAGTGTGGTAGAAGGTTTTGTCCTCAGTTTGGGGCTTACAAGAGGTGTGGCTTGTTGATTGAAAGCCCCTTAAATTGAAACTATTTCCTTCCTATGACAGAAGACTGGCAGAATACTATTTAGACTGCTAACCCATTTCTTCTGATATTCTTTACCCTGTGGTGGTGATGAGCCACCAATCGGTCTGGTTTGTTATATCAGAAGGAGGTTGCTTGGTTCCTCATGAGCACTGAGTTGGACTTTGCATTTAGGTAACAGGTATCAGATGTATGTAATTTTTGTTTGCATGCAATTAACAGATACCTTGCATGAATACCCTTCAGCATTCAGTCACATGGATTAAAAGTTATGTTGCATAAAAGGTGATGGTTACTATTTTGGGAACTCTTGGGTAAATATTTTAATATTTTTGACATTATTTCATTGTTGTGAAAGTGCCCGATTAAAGTTACTTAAGAAAGAGAAAAATAATGATATACAACAGATCATGGACTGACCCATAAAGGGGCAGTCTTCCAAGAAAGAGTGGAAGCTTTGGAATTCTTTTCCTGTTATATTTTTGGACAGTACTAAAACTCAGGCTGTGTTCTGAAGAAGTTTTTTTGCTCTTCCAGCTTTAAAGCAATTTACTTACACCTAGAGAAATTTGAGACTGTGCTTGCTGAATTCAAACGAGACAAATGTGATTTGATGCTGTCATGGTTCTACTTAGTAAAATTGCATGTCAAGAAGTAAATAACATATAGATAGGTTTTTACCAGCCCTACTATTTTAGACTAGGATTATACAAAAGGCTCTAATGGGAACTATAAGGGCCCAGCTACACCTCGCAGCTGCTGGGGAAACTGAGGTTTTAAAACTCATGTTTCTTAGTTAATTTAAAAAATAAAATTATCTTGTGTTTTATTTTAACTACAGGTTGCCTTTACTTGGTAGATACGTTAGCAGGAGATCCAGAGGTTCTGCAAGTAGATGCCGAAACATACTATGAAAAACTCTTGAAGAAATCATCGTACACTCCTGATGTTTTTTTCATCCCTGGAGGAGAAGAGGTAGTAGGCTGATGTTTTTCATACTGCAAGTTAGATACTTGCAAACTAGTTTGTTGGTTGTGCTCGTAGTCTGTCTGTGAATAGGGGTAAACTGGTGTGGCCCAATTACAAATCTCTGAAAATCACCTGCATTATTTCAAACAGTTTGCATGCTGCAAATGAGAGATAAGCTTAAACTGCAAGTCTAAAACCCTCCAAGTGTGGATGAGGATTTGAAGTACTTAGCTGAACTTTGCATCTTGACCTGCCTCCTTATAGGAGTGAATCAAAAGTGAATTTGATAGACGTTTATACCATGGCGCAGCTCTGTATTCTGCCTCAACTGTGCAGTTTACACAGGTATTGTGATATAGTGTATCTTTTGTTTGCATTCTTTCTAATACTTATATTGATAATTTCCAATATGGGTTCTCCAAAGAAGTTCTGATCAGATGTGATTGATAAATGGTATAAATACTGTAGCTGCCAATGCTTTAGGGTCCATTCCTGAGCCACGTGGGGGGAACGCATTGGAGATGAGTGAGCAGGCCTATTAAAAATTCTGACTTCAGTCAACCTATGAAACCTTTCATTCTAGGCCTTTTCTAGATCATAAAAGGTGTGCTGGGCTAACTGTTACTGTACTGTCAAACCAGTAAGTGGATTAGTTGAAATAAATGTTTGGAATACGGTGGCTTTTCTACAATTTAGGAAAATAATATGCAGTAGTTTCCAGAAAAACGCTGTTTCAGGTAGGTAGCTTCATCTTTTAGCTGTGACTGTAACTAGCTTTAAATACTCTTTTAATGCCCTCTAGTGGACCGCGTAGGGTTAAATACAAACAAACCTGAAAATGCAAAGGTCCCCCAGTTTAGGGCTTCTGTGTCCTTACCTCAGCCTTTCATGCCTGGTTGTACTTTTAGAGGCTCAAAAATCCCAAGCAGTGCTGTGTGTATTCCTGCAATAGCTAGACACAGTGAGATCAGTTAAAGGTGGACTTCTGGCTTTTGATTCAGAACTGTCTTGATTTTGTGGCTTGTCATCAGACCTTAAATATATCACATGACTGATTTGAGTCTCATAGCAACACATTTCTCTTTGCATTCATTTAATTCAGGTCTAATCTAATCTGCAGTCAGACAGCTAGTCAAGGGCATAAGTAATGGTAATGTTCTTGCTGTATTGTTTTTTTCCTTATACTCTGTAATAAATAGTTCAAAGAATGTTGATGTTTTGTAATTAATAATAAATTAAATGTAGTAAGGTAAAGCTCCCATCCCCAGTGAACATCTCAGCTAACAATCTCTATTATGTACCTACAACCTGAAGGATGAGGCTTTTGGTGTTTGAATAATGGCTGCAGTTACCAGGCTTTTTTTTCTCTGTGCATCTGAATTAAAGCAGGTTTCAAGTGGCAGGACCGGCAACCATGAATAATTATTTAGCAAGTGTTAAGTGGCTATCAGCCCACTTGCTCGGGTCACAGAACTTCTTTTCGGTATGGCATGGTCTTTGGTCAAGCATTCAGTACACAAATAGCAAGGATTATTGCAAGTCAGGACGGAAGCCCATTGGCAGCGTTCATACAGAGAAAGCTATGCTTGGCTCATGCTGATGTTGTTAGCACCTGTGAAAGTGCACATTACCTTATAAAACAAAATAAGAGTCATAGCAGTATTGGAAATAGTACTAGCCTTTTCATTATAGTAATGCTCCCAGGTGCCATAATGACATCGATGCTGTTATATTTGAAGCATGCAAAGAACGACTGAATCCCCAGAACATACTGAGATTTCAGGAAGCTCATGAATACAGATTTCAGGCAGTTTTCAGTTTTTTTCCTGGAGTCCAGTGTTTGCATAGATGATCCCAGGATTCTGGCACTCATAAACTAGTGAACACTGGTTTCAACTTAAAGTTGTTATCTTGAATAATCCATATTCATACTACTCCTTCCATGCACCAAGAAATATTAAATGTATCACATGACTGATTTGAGTTTCATAGCAAACTGACAAATGGGTGCAATTAGAGAGAGAGGCACACCCACACATACACAATGGACCAGATTTTTGAAAGTACAGTACATACTGTGCTAAATTATGCACGCTCTTTGCCTGTACCTAAACTTACATGAGAGCATTTGCAATATTCATATGGAAATCGTCATCTCTATGCATATAGAGCTGTTTGAGCACAGTAATTTTGTGTTTATGTGTCACATCATTTAGAAGTTTAGTCTAAGACTGAGAGCTTGAGAGCTGCATTTTGATTTTTAGCTTGGCCTTCAACATAACCACCTTGTGCCAATTATCTACCCTCCCAGTGCCTCTCAGATAAACTGCCCGGGCACTGCCCTAATGCTTTGATACTCCTTGTACTCTGAGGCTTAATTCATTGTTTGCAAAACACCGCAAGTACTCAACTGGACGATGCTGTAAGAAGTGCAAGTTGTATTTGTTTTTATTTGATGCGTCTCGTCTTTCATGACACCATTTGTCTGCATATAACAGTGTTCAAAGCCAGGTTATGTATTAATCATAGTAAGTCAGCATTAAGGTCTTCACTAACTTCAGTAGCTTGATTTCTTTTAAATTAACATTACTTACTGATAATATTAGAATATTATGTATGTTTCAGTGCCTTGAAGTTCAGGATTGAGAGGGTGTTGTGCTAAGCTTACACCATGCATGTTAGTAAAACGTATCTTAAGTGCATCTGACACATGAAATACTTCTTGAGAGCTTTGCAGTACAAACAGCTACAGGGTTTGTTTGTTTTTTAGGTTAAACTTGAAGATTCCTGTGTGTGTTTTGTCCCTCTCTACCGAAATAATCCTACTTGCAAAATGTTGCTGTTAACTGATCCAAAGGATAAAGAGACAGGTTAGAATTGGTCAAAATATTTTAAAATTTGATTAGTACTTTCTTTACTTTTAAGATGGTCTGCTTGTTTTTATATATAAATATTTTGGGATTTGTTTTGAGTATGAAGTGGATTCAGTTTACCTGTCAAGGATTTGTGCCGGTGAGCTGCTGATTAGAAGGGAGGATTGACAATCAGGGCTTTTAAAGTCTATGCATAGCTCTGCTGGTAGCTGAAAAATCACCTTGGGTAAATCTGTTATTCTTTTTGAGTTTGTTCAATGGGGTAATATTTTTCTAATTCATGATGATGTGAAATTTAATGCATTGTAGTTTGGATAGAATTCTGAAATCCTTAAACAAGAACAGATATATATGTGAAATTGTATTAGGTCTTACTGATTCTTATTCATGTTATTTTTACTTTATGATATCTTCTTCAGTCCTAGGTTTAATTGCCTCCTATTTCCAGTGCTGGTGTGTGAGGGGTAAATTTGGAGTGAGACTGTGCTCAAGAATTGAGTTAAATCCATTTTATTTGGCAGTTCTCCCAAGATATTCTTTAAACTCTACCAGCTTTGCCTTGCTTACTGCTAGTAATGCTGGTGTTTTCCTATTACAGTCATGTGTCAGCTTGACAGGGATACACTACAGTTGTGTTACAGGCAGTAGAAGTCAGCATGTGCTTACTGGTGTTTCTGTTTCATGAGTCACTGCTTAGAGTATCAACAGGTTATTAAGATTTGATCAACAATTTTATCTAAGTTTTATCTTCCTGCTATCAGGATCGCAGTATCTTCAGACACAGCCTGATTTCTTCCTACTTACTCTCTTGGGCAAGTGTCTTTGACTATGGAATATGAAAAAACGCAAATGTAAAATAAGTAACAACTTTTGATACCACTGTCATTAACGGGAAGCTTGACTCCCAGTTGCATAGTACCAAAAGCCCAGGTCGTGACTCACCTAGATTAAATGAGGAGTGTTGGAGCTGTTGTGAAGCCATGGGCTATAGAATTTTTGGAACATCTACAACAAAGTCATGAACCTATGCACTGACCCATTGTGTCACTTAGGGAATACAGAACAGATGAAACCTCTTAAACTTTCAGCTTCCAAATGTGGCAGCAAACTAATGACATCTGTCATTAAAAGCATACTTTTTTTTTTTAAAGTATAAGCTATAAATTACACCTGAAAGGCTTTAATAGCCAGTATTCTTAATAATACAACAAAGGCAAGGCAAAGGAGTTTAGCACTCTATGTTCAGTTCTAAAGTGTGTCAGGTAACAATCTTACACTCCTAGAACAGGTACTATTAGTGTAACTAAGTGTTCATTGTTCGGTCCAAACCCTGTAACCAGGAAATTTCTTCATAAGAACAAAAACCACATTAAAGTCATCTGTGATTAGAGGTGAACTCTGCAAAGTTTTCCAGCTCCTTTTACATACGATTTCAATTGGACGTTTGCTAACGGGTTGTGATTCACATAGTTGAAGGTAGGAGACCTTTCCAAGTTACAAGGGTAGTCAAAAGACTTTCTGGTCCCTCTAAAACTATTGATATAGAATTACTTTCCTGACATTAATTTATATATTCCATTAATGTTTTTCTGAAGAGAGATAGGCACTGGTGTGATAAAGGAGAGAAGCATCTACACTGAAGGCCAAACTTGCTCTCTGAGTGCAGTTGTGCATACCTACTGACTCATGTTCAAAGGAATGTAGTTGAAAACAGCTTTAAGTTAGTTTAGGCTGCACAAGAGGAATGGCGATCTGTAACAACTACAATGCAAAAATAAAGAATTATTAAATAAATGCAGGTGAAAGCAGTGCATTTAGCACAAATCTTCAGTTAAATGATCTAAGAGTATTAGGAACAACAAGTATTAATGAGATACATATACACAAGGAAAAAATGATTTCCCACAGGAACAAGTCAAACAAGTCCACATTGCAGCCTAAATTATATGATAGCTATCCGCATTAAAAGCTTAAACCTAGCAGAATAAACACCTTATTATATTATAAACAGCAGGCTGACTGACTACTGTGACCCCCTTGCAAAACTTTAGCTTGAGTCACCAGCCCATAGTCACAGAAACAGCCTCACAGAGATCAGTAAGACTAGTTATTTCAGTAAGGCCTACATTATCTGGCTTTTAATATTTCTTTTTAAAGGTACAATATAAAAGATTTTACTGGAAGTTCTTTGTTTCTGGATTTTATATGCTATAAACATGTGGCCAGCCTTCCTACACACATCAAATTTGACTGATGTGATTTTTTTCTTTAGATGAGTTTTAATAAATTTTCATTAGTTCTTTAAAGTCTGCTGGGGTGTGTGTATATGTGTGTGCATACCTATACATATGGGTATATACACTTGAAGTATTTTGTCCAAATATTTTTCCCACAGTTCAACAGATTTGGAATTGACTCTTAAGGCAACAGACTGTGTTAAGGTGGCAAGTCCATCTGGATTTGCTTACCTATATGACCTTTTGTTCTGACCAGTGAACAGATCAAATTGTTTCAAAACCAATTCCTTCAAAGAAAAGCAATATTTATTAACTCAGTTATCGTTACTTAAAGACATGGGCAGGAAGTTAAAACACTAAACAGGTTGCATGATTTTTTTTCCTCCCATGAGCTTTACACTTTTCTTGTGAACTCGAGTTTCATCCAGATGGGAGAGGCAAACAATCTTGCTGTAGCTGATCTCTTCTCTTTCTCATGTGCTGTCCGGTGCATCTGCATTTTAGTTCTACTTCACACCAGGAGTGCTCTTAGAAGCAAATTTCCTGGTTGTCCCCACGTACTGTGCTTCAGTTCATATCAAGGAGCAGTCTCGGAGTGCATGAACTAGATTACTTTGGCTGAAATGAAATCAGAGGATGCACTCCAAGAGCACACTGATGTGCCCCAGCCTCTAATGGGGTTTTAGTTTTCAACACCAGGCCAGAATTTGTGAACATCAGGTTCTCTGCACCAAATGTTTTGCTCTGGGAATTCAGTTTTGTTAGTGTTAGTCTTGCTAATGCAAACATGGCCCACTGATTTTTCCTCTTGCAATTCATTTGGACATTTCTGAAGTCCAGTGGGGGAAGGCAGCCAAGGGTGACCCAGGATACGCTGGGGTAGAGGTGCTTTACTGAGAAGCAATTGAAAACAGAGTAGAAGATGCAGCTAATAAGAATGTAGGGCATGTTTAGTTGTGTACTTCTCAGGTCCTGGTGTGGATAGTGAATCAGCCAGAAGTGTTAGAATCCTCATTGTTTGGTTCTGCCACAGCTCACATGATGCTGTGAGACCATATCATATTGCTCCCGAAAGCCACAAACTCCCTCTGCTCCGGTGGTTCTACTGACTGGTGACTGCCAAAACCCTGGCTACAGCCTTTTCAATTTAGTTCTGTTCTCCAGCTCTATCCCTGGCACCATCAGTTCCTTCAGCTTAGCTCCAACATCTCCACCTTTGCTCCTGGTGGCTTCCCAACACCCCTCACCCCCTAAAACGAACTCTGTACAAAGCCTTGACAATTGCTGGGGTTAACCGCACACCTGGGCAGTACCTTAATCTCAATGAGAAAGCTGTATACCTCGTATGTCTTATGTTCATATGTGATGGGATTTCCTCTTTCAGCTTCATTTGTGTTTACATCTATAATGGTTAAGTACTGCATAGATAAAATTATGTATATAATACTCATGAAATAATATCCACTGTAATATACTTATTTTCCCACAGTTCCCAAAGAAAATATTGTCAATCAATAATTTATGTTTGAAATTCTAATGATTTAGACTCTGGAAAAATACTGAATTTAGCAGCCCAGCTACAGGTTTGCCTGTGAAGAGCTTTAAAGTTTGATGGCGTTTAATTCTTGAACATAGGTTAAAGGGGGGTTGATTCCAATACTGAGATTTGTATCTGATCATCTTGGTCAGATGGGGTGTCCAGAAGTGATGCATAGCTTGTGGTCTGAAATGACCTGCATATTTCAAAGAGAAAATGGATACGGTAGCTTTTCCATAGGACTTGGTCTTGGTTGGGAGCATTTTTAATTTATTTTTGATGGACTGAGTGTTCTGTTCTGTTAGTATATCTGTACAGATACTTTTATGAGAATGTAAATTGTATTGTAAGGGCTTACAGAGCATAGCATGGGTGATTAACATCTTTGTAACACTAAATAAACATACCCTATCGTGGCATTTTCTGTATGCTGTATATAATAATTTACAATAACTGTTAGATGCCATGGAACATTTATCACAAGACATTTGCAACAAATCACTGAGTAAAACTTGAATTGTAGAAGAAAATGTAATTGGTTGCAGGAAGATATCTATCTTAGATACTTGAATGGCTGCCATTACTGCAGCATCTGCATGCCTCCCAAGCTTTAATGTATTTATTTCGATAAGACTCTTAGGGGAGAGAGAGAAATGCTCTTACTCCATTTTAAAGATAGAGAACTAGGGGACACAGGTATTCAGGGTATGTCAACGTTGCAGAACGCAGTTTGATGTAGGATCTCTGAGCTTGCTCTGTTATCAGAGCTGACCTAGGCTTGGTTGCATGGAACTACTTGCTAACTACTATTGCTAAGCCACCATCCATCGTATTTGAGAAGTCGTGGCAGTCCGGTGACGTTCCCACTGACTGGAAAAGGGGAAACATAACCCCCATTTTTAAAAAGGGAAAAAAGGAAGACCCAGGGAACTACAGGCCAGTCAGTCTCACCTCTGTGCCTGGGAAGATCATGGAGCAGATCCTCCTGGAAGCTATGCTAAGGCACATGGAGGACAGGGAGGTGATTCGAG